GGTGACCTGTAATTACTAATTCATTTAAGTTTATTAATTTTTGTCTATATAAAGTAAGTTTTTGGTTTCAGTTATGGCAAACTGAAATGTAAAATATTCGATTTCTTTTCTGTTGTGTGATTTGTTTATTTGGTAGTAACTAGATTTCTTTATTGCACAGGTGACTCTCTATCATTTACTGAAGCTGTTTCAGTCTGATACAAATGCCATTTTGGGAAAGAAAACTGTTGTTTCTGAATTTTATGATGAGATGGTATGATAACAAAAACTTACATCAGCTTTTGCATGATAGTCTCCTCTTCTTCTCCTTTCCTTTTCAAACTCTAATAGTCTGAATCTGTCAGAGAGTGGTTCCCCAAATTTTTTGGTGCATGTTGGATATTCAGGAAGAAAGATCCATTAGATTGGAATATTCTAGTAACCAAATTAAATAATTATATATATTGTCCATTTTACTGTGAAACATTACATAGTTGGCAAATAATAGAAATGTATTACTTTTCTCCAATAGATTTTTCAGGATCCCACTGCTATGATGCAGCAACTGCTAACTACATCTCGTCAGTTAACACTTGGTGCTTATAAGCATGAAACAGAATGTAAGTGCTGAACGCCAAGATTTCAGTAATATGTGTTGATTTTAGATAAACTAAAACTTGATTTTGAAGACCCTCTTTCCGATCATTATTGTATGACTTAAACAAGATCTGCACTTTAGCTTTGGCTTTCATGAAAATTATATTTTACTTTAAAAACCCTCTCTGTCTATAATGCGTATTTTAGTCCAGATGGAGAAAAGTAAATATGGAAAGGTATGGAAAGGTTAGTTCTGAATAATCATCATATTTTAATCCTATATGGTCTTTATAGAATTTCACTATTTAAGGTCATGCTCCTCAAACTTTGTTGTGTTATGAACCCCTAGAATAATTGTGAGCACGCTACCATTTATCATTCATCTTTTTAGAAGCTGTGTGTGTGTCTGTATTATAGAAAGCAACATTGTGTTAACCTGCATATGAAAGTACAAAGAGCTTCTGTCTATGGGAATTAAAGTTGTGTGGTAATATTGTAGATAGATACATGAAGTAAGTGCCATCAAATTGGTGTCTGCTCTTACAGATAGATTTTCACCAATAAGCTTTCTCCCCTCCCTGGATCTTCATGTCTTCTAATGGTGCACCCATCACGAAGTCTGTCTATCTTGCTGCCAGTCACTGACTTTTATTTCTGCTTGTCTCAGCATTATAAATTTCTCCAGAGAACTAGGTCTTTGTGAATCTGGTCATTTGTGATTTAATGAGAACCTTGGGTTGGTTGCTTTGATGATAGGTTTGGAGTTTCTTTGGGTGGGGGGTTCTCCATAGTATTCCGAGGATACAGTTCAAAAGTATCAATAGTTTTTCTATTCTATGTCTTCAAAGTATATTGATATACAAAATAAATAAAAAAACATACCCCACCACTCTTGCCCAGATTTTTTCTATAATATCACTGGCTGGTCTATTTAAACTTTCATGGTGGTTCCTTCATATAACTTGCCAATCAAACAAATAAATCTCTTATCTGTAGCATTAGGCTGAGGCGATAGTTGGCTGGATTTTTTTTGTTTCTTTTTAAAAAAAGAGGATTCCTGCACTATTCACCTAATTATGGGAAAGCTATTTATATAACATTAATATGAGGATAGCCAACCACAGTGCCCTCCAATTTGAGGCTTTCAATTTGAAATCTCTTAGTTTCAGGTCCACCCCAGCAATTTAATTCTGCCTCTTGATGAACATTTGAATTGACCTCCACCTTATTGATAAGCCATTCTGAAGCAGATGGTTAAATGTCCTTTATTTCTTCCTGCCCTTGTCTTTTTTCTTCCTGCTCAAGTAAGCATTTAGAAAAATTGGCTCACTCAAGCAGAGGAGAAGCCAAGTCTCAATTAGTATAGTATTTCTTTGGAGAACTAGAAACCCTTTTTATTTATCATTCTCCAGCTGTTGTATAGACAGAGGGTTTCAGGCTATTACAAAGCTTATTTTAAAGGTTCATAATTAACTACTAGTGTAGTAATAATAGTGGCTGTTGCTTGTAGCATCAATAGGCTGAGTAATTTATTTTGCACTGTAATTAAGCTGAGTCAAGGATCACAATCTTTCCCAGAAAAGACTGATGAATCCTTTTCCTTCAGAAATCTAGACAGAACTGTCCTTGAAAAAGAGGCAAGGGAGAGAATTTTGATCCTGGCTAGGTCACTTTTGGACTGTGGTAGGAGGTTTTGTTGTGAGCACAACACATTGAAGGTCTGGAATCTACGATGCCCTTGTGCCAGCAGCTTGGTAAAAGCCATATGTGTCTAGCAAAATGCAACACCAATCTATTGTTGTAGAACTTTTGGTTTATGCAGATTATGCCAACTTTGTATTGAAGATAAGCTAATCCAGTTGTTTTGGAGTCCTAAAATGATAATTTTATTGCAGCTACAATTTAAAGGCATTGTATGTTAAAAATATAGTTTGTATTGTACTAGCAACAGTAGCACATGGTGCTTGGTCCAGAATGTTTTAATGTTTTTGATTCAAAATAACAAAGACTGCCTTTCTAAACATTGAAAGAAATATTGAAAAAAATAATTAAGCAAAGTATCATCTATATTTGTCTTCCAGTTGCCAGTGTAGAAGTAAAAACTCGAGAGAAGTTGGAAGCTGCTAAGAAGAAGACCAGCTTTGAGATTGCAGAACTTAAAGAAAGATTAAAAGCAAGCCGTGAAACTATCAACTGTCTAAAAAATGAAATAAGGAAGCTTGAGGATGATGATCAATCTAAAGATATATAATACCTATTTACTACTTTAAGAGACTTCACATGAAACTTATTTTGATCATGGAACCAATAACACATTTCCTTTTCTGAGAAGAATTGCATATAGGCATTCTGGAGAGATTTTTTTTTTTTTTTTTTTTTGTGGACAAAAGGAAAAAATTCACTATGTGACATTTCACTAAGTATTTTTTTTTAGAAAATACGCAATATTTTCATGGTTTTAAGTTGCAGTTGTTATTTTTAAAACTGACTCTAAAGAAAAAGGAAATATATTGCTGTTACAATTTGTTCATGTTCTGATGTATTGAGTATATGAAATACTTCTATGATATTGTTATTAAGTGTTTAGTCAAAATTCTACTTATTTACATAAACCATCACTACCTTAAGGAGAAATAAAACTGTATTATAGAGAGTTTTATGGCTAAACCAAGTCTTCTATTATTTTGTTTCCAAATTTCTCAGAAACTTGAGAGAACTGTACAAAGAAATATCAATGGTAAGTTTACCCTTACAGCGGATAAAACTGATCATGACTCTTATTTGGAAACTGTTTTCTGTTGTTCTAGAGTTCCAGTAATAAAAGTAATAAGTGAAAACGTGTATATTTTCTTTAATATTAAAATATGATAAAATATATAATTTTATATAAAACAGGAAGGCAGTTGAAAACAAAGGTTATGAACATCAACTAGCAGTTAAACAGCATGACCAAAAATCTCTGATATCAAACTACATTGATAATACCAGTTCGACTGGGAAGGAACAAAAATCATTGGCCATGCCAGCAACCCACCATACATGTGAATTTATTGAAACCTGGTATTCTACTAAAGGAGCAATTAACAAGCATATTGAGATTCAACATATGAATATGTAAGAAACCAGACCATTCAAACAACCAATTAACAAGAGAACTAAGCTGCTCAGAATTTAAATATGGCACCAAACGAACAACCATTCATATAACCAACTGTCTAAAATAGCACACAAGACATTTATAAGCTAAGGATAATAGGACAAGAAAATCCTGATGGTGTTACCTAGTCTGGTAACAAAACGTTCAGAAATGACCATATTTTTTTGGAGTGTGATGCACCCCCACTAAAGAGGGTGAAAAATTGGGTGTCTTATACACCGAATGTAGCCCTGCCCACCTGCCGACCCCCACCCTTCAGCCTCCACATGTCACGTTTTAGACCTGTTCCAAGTTGCAGGGATTGCCACAGACCATTGCCCCCTCCGTGGCTTCTGTTTTTGGCCTCTGCATCTCACATTTTCAGTCTCTGAATGCTCTGTTTGAGACCTGTTCAAGGCTTCTGGGGTCGCCAGAGCACACTGCTGCCGATTGCCACCTCCACACATTGTGTTTCTGGCCTCTGCATCACGTTTTAGGCCTCTGCATGCCATGTGTTTGGCCTCTGCATGTCATGTTTTCTGGTGGCAATTTTTAAAAAAAACTGAAATATCACAGTGGCATAAGTATTCAGACCCTTCACTCAATACTTTGTTGAAGCACCTTTGTGCCAAGATTCTCCCATTTGAGAATTATGGAGGCCACTGTGCTTTTAGGAACCTTCAGTGCAGCAGAAATTTTATTGTAGCCTTCCCTCCATCTGTACTTTGACCAATGTTCCCTCTAATTTTTTTTCAGTGTGAGCGGAAAAGTATAGTGTTTGAGCGGCACAGTTTCATGCCTGAGCACCTAAGAGAGCCACAGTTTGAACTGCTGTCACGTCTGCTGGACATTTGCGCAACATACCAAGCGTCAAGCGCCGATTGCTAGCGAGGTTTCAGCCTGATGAATGCCAGGCATGAAAAGTGCCACTCAAAGACTATACTTTTCCGCTCACCCTGAAAAAAAAAGGCTCTCTGCTCAGCTTTTAGATTGTTAGCCTGGCTAGAGAGAGACATGGCACCAACAGCTGGGGTCCTGGCATTTTGCAGGCCACCTGTCCTCTCACATTCCTTTGGAATGCAACCCATATGCACATTTGAATTAGATCTTGCCAATTATCCTATTAAAAGATAATCCTATTATTCTAAAATATGACTAACTCAATATTAAGAACTGTAAATA